TATATATATATATTATGTTAATCACTTTTAAAACAAAAATAGTACCTTGTTTATGTAACTGGAAGTAGTTCGAAAGACAATTTATTATAAAAATAATAAAAAGATGTTTTTGTTGTTATAAAAACTGATTAATAATTAATTTTCCACTTCAAATTTGGTAAAAATGTAAGTATATATGTTACATTTAAGTTTTTAGCGTAAAATTATCAGCAGATACGCTTATTTCGATTTGCACGTCAGCATATTTGAAATAGTAAAAAAGCGTATCTGCTAATTTATAATTATAACAATAAAATTACATTGTTATAATTGCAAAATGGAAAAATTTAGGTCTATTTATGCTGAATGCTGTTTCATTTTCTTTATATACAGGAAAAATATGAGTGCGGAAGAATAAAACGTATATTCACCGCCAGTGTAAAGTTGGTAGTCAAAAACAAACTTCTTGTTCAAAAAATGGCAAAAATGATTTAAAAATACTTAAAAATTGTTACTCGGGGGTTTTTGGGGTCGCTGATTACGAATCTAAAGTCAGATTTCAAAAATTCAAAATGGCGGAGTCAATATGGCGGACAATTTTTAAAAAAAATGATTTAAAAATACTTAAAAATTGTTACTTAGGGGTTTTTGGGGTCGCTGATTACGAATCTAAATTCAGATATCAAAAATTCAAAATGGCGGAACCAATATGGCGGACAATTTTTTCAAAAAATGGCAAAAATTATTTAAAAATACTTAAAAATTGTTACTTGGGGGTTTTTGGGGTCGCTGATTACGAATCTAAAGTCAGATTTCAAACATTCAAAAGGGCCAATATGGCAGATAATTTTCTAAAAATTTAAAAATTAATTAAAATTACTTAAAATCTGTTACTCAGGGGTTTTGAACATCGCTGTTTACGATATTGAAGTCAGATTTTGAAAATTCAAAATACCATAGTATGGGTGTGATTATTATTGTATCCATTTTGAATTTTGAAATTTTGTAATTCAGACATCAAATTCGGAATCAGCGACCCCAAAAACCCCCGAGTAACGAGTTTCAAGCGAATATGGTAAATTTTCAAAATTTTTGATCGCCATATTGGTTCCGCCATTTTGAATTTTGTAAATCTGACATCAAATTCGGAAGCAGCGACCCCAAAAAACCCCGAGTAACAAATTTTAGGCCAATTCCGTCTTATTATTGGGCTCAAAATTTATGTGCGTGTATATACGTCATCGACACCCAAGGGGTTAATGACAAATTACCCATCGAATGGTAGGAAATCTTGTGCTAAAAAAATTATAAGCAAATCAAGTAAGTTTTTCATATATTTTTTATTTACTTAACCAGAAATTTATATTTTATTAAATATTATAATATAATATTAATATTATAAATGTTAACCTTGTACTCACTGCCAATTGTAATAGTTTATTTAATAAATTATTGTATAAAATATTATATCAAAAAATTTTTTTATAAAAAATAATTTAATAACATTAAAATATTTCATTAATTAGAATGCAACTTAAAGTTAACATTTTTTTCAGGTACGGAATTATAAGTTTTATAAAGGATATACCATATTACTTATCGCTTCAAATATTTAATTCAGATAGTTATTTTTCTATGTTTATCTATTTATTTATTTAACTTGTATATTAATTAATTATGTATAATTATGTTATTTAAGAAAAAATTTTTGTGTATATTTGGTGTTTATATGTATCAAAAAATAATCAATGAATAAATTAATTATCATTTAATATTATGTACTTTTATTCACATTTATTATTAAGAATTATGGGCTCCAGGTGTATCTAAATATAAAAAAAATCAATTTATTACCGTAAAAAATGAACATTTAAAAAATTTTGAGTATATTCAAATGTCATTGACTATATATCAAGATTTTAACATAACTGATATTATTGGTAAGTTTAATGAAAATCGGTAAAAAATTATGAGTTCCACGTCTACCTAAAAATTAAGCAAAAAATAACTTCATGTATTTTAATTAACCTTTTTAAATAAAAAATTTTGAAAATTAATATCTCCAAAACGAAGCAAAACACCTTCGTAAGATTTTAATAGAAGGTTAAGAATATTATAAAAAATCTTTGTGCAAAACCTCACTTTTTTCGGAGCACCGACAAAAAAGTTATAAGTAAATAAAAATCTTGAGAATATTTCAATAAAATTTTTTTAAATCGTATATCATCCAAAAATAATAAATTTTTTCAATAATTCTTTCGTTCCTCTGTGCAGAATAAAGTGATTTATGTTTTTGGTGAGTTCCAACATCTAATTTTTATAGTTTTTTAATAATAGCGTTTTTAAAAAAATTGAAAAATTTAAGGTGATACCAGTCACAAGGATAAAAGGCTCAAAGAAGGGTAAAAACGTAAACAAATTACCAAAATTACGTTTGTGCAGGCGCGAAAGAGTTTGTGTTGTATTAGAGTAGGAGAGAGTGACGTCACGTGAAGTGCTCTCTCTCTCTCTGTCGCATGGAGTGAAACGGCTCTTCACGTAACGTAAACGCTCGATAAGAGTGACTCCCCGTACGTTTACGTTAGTGAGGCGGCACCTGGTGGTCACGTCACGTGATGACGACGATGAGAAGCGGAGTTTTCCGTATTTACGGATTGTCTGGCGAATATTGCTGGAGGGTTACCCGTAGCCTAACGACTCGCTAAGAGTGACTCCCCGTATCGTTAGGCGGGTTTGCGTGCTCTTCGTGTCCGTACCTTAACCGACTCGCTGAGAGTGACTCCCGGTATCGGTGTAGGTACGTTCACGTCAGTGAGAGTGTAAGAGAGGGGTGGGGCCTGAAAATAGAGATTGATTAATAGGCCTACGGTAGTAGGGTGAAAGAAAAGTAGAAAAGTTCAGTTGAACGAACCTTTATTTAAAAGTGCGCAAGAGACCTGCACGTCGCTAGGCGGCAAATCTCTGCTGGCTGGTGTTCTAACACTCAGACCTTATATACACTTAGCAAGTCATCTTGACTGCGAGCGAAATATTAACTACATATTTACTACAGAACAGCGCTCGTAGCGTTAAACAATAAGAACTAAATTGAAAAATTAAATGTAATACACACACACATATGTGACAGTCCCCGAGAGAAGGGACCTTAGCTCACCAAAACGAATTTCACAGGGCAAGCGTTTGAAGAAGAAGCAGAAACGCGGAACTCGAAGAGTGGGGCGGAACTTCTGAAAAGTTCCCCCACCACACTAACACAACGTTGTGTTTCTGTATACGTCAGCTTCGTCTACTTCGTGTATCTTCGGGTCTCAGTCAGCACGAACCGAGCGAAGCTCACGTACGCGAGAGTATAGTTGTGTAAGTAAAGTAGTGGGGCTGATTTCTTGAGTGCCACAATCCGCCTCGAAATGCGCTTGACATACCCATCTTCAAAATGTTATTGTGTCAAAAGCAATTATCCTAATCAGTTTTTGACTTTTGCATGTGAAAAAGCAATTCAAAATCTATCATTTACCATATAAAACTCAATATTGACCTCTGGTGAGCTAAGGTCCCTTCTCTCGGGGACTGTCACATATATATATATATATATATATATATATATATATCTAACATTATAAATTATAAAGAAATTATAAATCATTATAACAATAATATTTATAATTAACAATAAATAAAATTACAATTATTATAATAACAACAATTATAATTATTAATTAGTTAATCACAAATTATTATAAAATAATAATTATTTATAGTAAATTATAAGTTATAATTCATATATATAGATTAAAAAACATTAAACCTCGAACATAACCTTTTTTATAAACAAATTAACTGAAAACTCCGCTCGGAAAAGTATCCGGCGAGCGAGAGAAAAGCGGGAAATAGGAAAGAGGCGCGGCGGTGGAGTTTGGTTGGGAATGCGTAGCAGACCCGTTAACAATGACTCAGCCAAGGACAAGAAATTCATGAAGAATAAGCAATTTTTGACTATCTTCATGAATTCTAGTCACCCCTATCATTACAAAATCACATTGTGAACCTCCTACTTTTGATATTTAATATTTTTATAGGGAATAAAATTTTTACCATAATATTATGGTTAATGAACTCACGGAATCATCGAGTTTCAAATATATTAAAACTAGATTTTTTAAAAATTTGGTCGCAATCACTATTAGATGAAAGTCAGTGGACTAACCCTTCTGCATTCAATTCAAAAATATATAAATTATAAACGAGTATTATATTTTTCGAAAAAACCATTGTTCATAAAAAATATTATATTTAACCTTATACGCGTCCTCTAAAATTTCCATAAGATCAAACATTGAAAGATTTATGAATGTTGTTTTTATAGCAGAATGTTCTTATACATAATGTTATTTAAACTATTTTGATGTAAAAGAAAACTTTAAAATGAATACAAACGATTAATTTGAAGAAATGTAGTTAAAATCCTTTACGGAATAATATAATAATAATTTAATGAATAAAATTTTAAAGAGATAAATAAAGATAGAAAAAAGGATTGATTTAACATTTGATAAACATGTCATTTTTCCACTGCTTCCTGAAACATTAAAGACGCTTCGTTGAGTTTTCACCACCTGGATATTTTCTCTTAATTTATATAAAACTAGGCTATTTTCTGACAACTCTCTCAAAGCTATCTGAATGTTTTGTTTAAAACGAAAAAAATGTGCTATTTTCAGGATTTTGTTTCAAACGAAAAATTGGACATTGCTTCCTGAAAGTTTTCTACAGCTAGTGCGCCGGATTTTCGACTGGGATTGAATCCATGTTAAATTAATGTTCGATCATTGTTAAATTGTGGGTCCCGATCACTGCTACCCGACTACCATTAGAGCGTTTGTCCGAGCGTCGGTCGAGTTATTTGATCGGGATTCTGAATTATTGTCCAAATCAGTGTTATATCAGCATTAAATAAATATAGAATCAATATAACTAATTATAACAGGTTACTTCGGGCTAGTAAGTAAGTAAAATCAATATACCTGGCTTGCGGGAAGTGATTCAGACAGTTGACCTGGACTCACTAAAGACGTGGCAAACTGATGAAGATGTGCTGGCGACATTGAAGCTGGAGCCTGCAATGAAAAAAAAAATATTTTTTAATAACAACTGGAATCTAGGCTTGTAAACAAAATTTTTTTGTAATATCCACTTTTGCTGCATTTGTTAAAAATCTCTGTGGTGAAGATGTTAAGAATTATTTTCTGAAGAAAATATGCCATAATTCATTTAAATTGGACCAGTTAAAAAAAATTTTAAAAGCAATAGGGAGACTGGGGCAAACCGGCCATGTGGGTAAACCGGCCAGGTGTTAGTTTTTCAGAATTGGTCAAACTTTAAAATATGTCAATTATAAATTTGAAAAGACTATATTAAGAATAACTCATTTCTTCAGTTTGACATTTTTTAATTGTGTTTATGCAATTTCATAAACAAAAGTTTGTTTTTTCGCATCCGCTAGAAATTTTTACGGATCTGTTCATAATCAATTTGTGAGAAAATCGTGTAATATTTATTAAAATTGTTTTTGAGGTTTAAAAGGTGTATGCCTCAGTTAAATTTATCGGTATATTATTTAATGATTTTACTAAGCATTTTTTTATACAGGTCTTAATTGTCAAAATGGGCCTGTGGGGGAAACCGGCCTATGTCTGTTTCCCTTGCAACAGAAATTCACGAAGATTACCTATCGGCTAGAAGACTTCGTGCGCGCTTTCGTAAATCTTTGTTCACTTTACGGAGATTTACGAAGTTTTACAAAGTTCACTGACAGACGTTTCTTCTTGAACGACAACAATTAGTTGAAAATATTTGTTTTATAATGAATAAGATGTTTCTTTAATTGAAATTTAATCCTATCTTATTATTTTCCTTATGGGAAGATTGTTTATTGATTTTTAGGGTTCCGTACCCGAAGGGGGAACCCTATTAATGAGACTAGTGAAGCAAGGCATGTACCCCCCCCCCTAGCGGCCACACGAATTTATCTAGAGAGCTGAAATTTGGTATACATATGTATTTTGGCGTGTAGATTACAGGAAAAATATAGCGAATCTCATAGGAATTGATTATCATAGCGTTGTCAAGGAAAAACCATGAATTTTTACGAAAAATCCCTGAAAATGACTATGTACTCCCCCTCTGGTTGCCACATCTTTTTACATAGAGAGCTCAAATTTGGTACACTTATGTATTTTTACGTGAAAATTACAGGAAAAATATAGCGAACATGATTCGGATCAATTTACATAGCGTTGTCAAGGAAAAATAAAAAATTTTGAAAAAAAGCGTTTAATCCACCTAGCGCACACACTATTTGACCAAGACAGTTCATATTTGGTATACTTACGTATTTTTGCGTGTAGATTACAGGAAAAATATAGCGAGCACGATTGGAGTTGATGATCATATTGTTTTTAAGGAAAACTCATATTTTTAGAAAAAATCATGGATTTTTCGAATAAAAAAAGAAGAAAATTTTATCTTAAGGGATTCAAATTTATACATTTTTACGTATTTTTACGTGTAGATTACAAAAAAAATATATCGAGAACGATTAGAGTTGATTATCATAGAGTTTTTAAGAAAAAACTGATAATTTTTTATAAAAATCATGAATTTTCTTCAAAAAACAAAGAAAATATTATCTAATGGGCTTCAAACTTATACATTTTTATGTATTTTTACGTATAGATTACAAAAAAAATATAGTGAGCATGATTGGAGTTGATAATCATAGCGTTTTTAAGGAAAAACTGATAATTTTCGTTATATGTGACTATGTGTCTATCTATGTGTTTTTATGCTCACATTACAGGAAAAATTAAGCAAAATTGGAATTTTTCCACATGCCTTCACACTTTAACCCCTTAAATTTTAGGTTTAAGGGTACGGAACCCTCGGTTTTAATGCGAGTGTAACTCGCACTTGTCCGATTTTTTTATATTCAGTGGCGTTTTCCTTACAATTAATTATCTAAACAAAAAAAATAAACTGACTGGTTTACCCCAGAGGGGTGACGGTTTACCTCAGGGGTGAGGCAAACCGGCCAGTTTGCAAATTTTTTTAAAATTGATGCAGCAGCTAAACAATACATTTTAAGGTACGTGTGTCTCTAGGAAAAAGTTGCGCAATTAGATGACCTTTCCAACAAGCTATTATAAAAGGTTTTTCATTAGTTTCTTTAGTTACTAGAGCCTTACAACTGTGTTTGTCCCAGTCTCCCCTATAAGGAAAATTTTAATTATTTAAAAAATATATAAAGGAATAATTTTTGCAACAAGAGTGCAAAGTCAGCCATTGTTTACATTGGCGTTTGCCTTGATCGAGGGCTAGCAAATGTCAAGATAAACAATTGTCTCCCTTTGGACCAATGTTACTTACGATATTTAAGATACCTGACGGCCGGATAAAAAAGCCATTCATTTGTTCTACTGTTTAAAAATAGCGCACATTTTTACCCTAGGGTAAAAAATTACATGGGTCAGCTGTTTATTTTTACCCTTGGGCAAACATGGGCGCCATTTTTAGACGGGAGAATATATGATTGGCTTTACACCCGGACATCAAGTATGTAAAAGCGCCATGTTTGTGTCTGAGGAATAAAAAAGATTTTATTGATTGGCCGTAGTTCAACAGCTTACCGCCAAGGTTTAAATCTTAAAAATTTTGATAAAAAGTCAGTATTTGCCAAGAAAAATTTATTTTTTGGCCATAGCTTGCAAGCTAACCGTCAACACTGCAAAAAGAAGAATCTCACATGGTATCTTATACGGAGATGGAAGATGGCAAACTTCCATCTCCAAATAGGATATTAATCGAAACATCTCACAAAAATTAAAGACATTTTACGTAACTCCACTTGAATTGAGATGTTTAAAGTATCTTGAAATTGAAGACACTTTCCTGAGATAGGTAATGTATCTCCATCTGAGACGCCAAAGACATCATGAGATGTTTGACGCCTAAGACACTTGCGATTCATAAGATACATGAGAACTTTGAGTTAGGAAAACTTGAGATGTTTTAAATATCTTCATATAAAGCCATTGTTGAAAGCGGAAATATTTTATGTATCTCACATTTGAAGCATTCTAACCTCAAAAAAATGAATCAATTCAAATGTTCCATGTGTTTTTTTCGCTGTATTTCAATAACGCATTTAGAGAAACACATTATTCGTTTACATCGATTTGATCCGACATTTAAATAACAGTGTTCGTATAATGACTGTGGAGCCACATTTCGATAATGGAAATCTTATCAACAACATAAAACCAGAAAACATTCTCAAGTAGGACTTGCAATAGTCGGTATCAATACAACGCTTAGCACACTATCATTTTACACTTCTTCATCACTTTCTATATCACACAATTGTTTTATCACATCATTTTCTTTCTGAAAAATTGGTATTTTTTTATGCAGGACAGCCTTCAATGCTAAATTTTTCTCAGTTGCTTTCAATAAAGCATCATTTAAACATTCAATATCAGATTTTCCTTCTTCTTTTGTGTACTTAATCAATTAACACTGTCGCTCATCGCCTTTTCCGATGTTGCAAAATACTCGTTTTGAACCCATTTTTTAATACCAATTAATATTTTATTAATAACACGCGAAGTGAATATGCGAGTAACGCATACGTGAGAAATTGCAGGTTATGTTTACGATCGGTTCTGACGTTCTGATTGATAAATATATCTCGTCATGCGCAGTAACCAAGCCGTGAGATACTTAAAATATTTCACAAATGAGATGTTTAATGTATCTTAAAAGGCACTACACAAACAACTTAGAAATGACTACAGAAACATCTCAAATACTTGTTTTTGCAGTGAATGTAGTTCGTTCTATATTTCCAACATTTCCAATATATGCTCTATAATTTTCCTATATTCCGCATTTATTAAGCTTTATTTTCCACGAACTATTCATACACTGTGGGTCATTTAGGAGGATTGACTGTATGCCAATAAATAGCCAGTAGCCCACTGCATATCATAAAAGGTGACTAAAAGGGTCGCTGAGGATTGTACCCTTCTACCTAAGTACCGCTTTGACGCTTGACGAAGATCCACAGTTGGGACAATGTGTATAAATAATTTAGAAAAATTTTAAACATAAAATAACATTAAAATATCTATAATTATATGCAATTAAAAAATTATCTTCCCCCAACCCTTTAAGCTAAATCGTTTTTCTTTTTTCTGAAAGTTTTTTAAAGAAAAAAGAATGTCAATGGCTTTTATTTCAACTCGATAGAGTAAAAAATGGCCGATTAATTGCAATTGTTTATAACTAAAAATAGTACCCTTTTTTCTTTATCGTTAATTATGCAATTAAATAATGAAATTCGATTATTTTTTTATGTACATAATAGTATCACTCTTCAAGAGTATAATGAAAGAAGAAAAATTGAATTTGCTCCATATCGTTCTGCAGAAATTAAGTTAAAAAACAACATGTTTTTAATTAACAAATGGAATAATTTATAAACTATATATCCGATTGGGTTTGAAGTTTTTTTCATTTTGTTCAGTATCGCGAAGAGCACATTTTCATAAAGTTTCACTCCAATCGGATTATTATTAACAAAGTTATTAAACAATTAAAAAAGTGCCACTTTTAATGGTTTAAATTCAATAACTTTTAACAAATAATCCGAATTTAACTTTCGACCCACCATTTTGTAGGTATTTTTTCTATACCTTTTTTTTAATGACAACTTTTTCCTCTGAAATGTAGAGGAATGCAACGAGCACCAAAAAATACGTTTCGTCAACTTTGATGTTTATTTATAACATTTTCCGCAACCGGAAATCAAGAGCAAACTATAAGGCCTTCATAGAATTTCGCCCAAACTACCGAAATCCGTTTAGAACAGCCTGTTTACATTTAATGGCACTTTTTGTCTTTATTGACTGGCCTTGTCGGGGGTTTGCGGGGTCGTCGATTCCCAATCTAAAGTCAGATTTTCAAAATTTAAAATGGCGGACTCAATATGTCTTTTTTTCAAAATTGATCATATTTGATTGAAGCTCACTACTTGGGGGTTTTTGGGGTCGCTAATTTC